TTACCCAGCCTTTAACTATAACAAGGGTGCAGCTAGTGATATTCTTATCCTCATACCTTAAAAGAAAGGTGACCTCAGAGCGTTTCTTCCGTTTCACCATTACACCTCGCCATAAACACTATTTGTGAGGTGTTTGACCTCGGCTTTGTGTGGTTGTGAACTTGTGAACAACCTACTTATTTTGCATTTTCTGTGACCAGAATATAAACAAAGAAGTGTGGAAATCTGAAAAGCTTTTGACAGCTGGTGACCGCAAAAAAAACAAAAAAGGTAATTCTGGCATGCAACAGGTTGGTTTATTGTAACACACTAGTTTGGTTCCCTGCTCTGTAAGAAATAAATTGACACCTCCTTGATCATGTTGTTTACAGCCTGAAACCAGTGTTAGAATGTGTCAAAATAGCCCTCACACTGACATTATATTTTTATATATTATTACACATTATAAATTTAGTTGCCGTAGTTTATATTTTATGGCCCTGAACTATTCCCACTGGCTGGTTGCTTAATCATGCACAGAAATGCTCAAGGGTGGAGATAATTATTTAATTGAACCCTTCAGTGCCATGAACATTTTTATTAGTTCCAAAATGTATAAAGATAATCTTGTGTTTACTCTTGTTAAAGATAAGACCTGTTGTACCTGTTTCACTTTGTGGCGATCCCCTTAAAACAACATGTAGGAAATGAGAAAAGTAGCATGTTGTTGCCAGTGACAGTTTGTTGTCAGCACAACAGCTAATGACTCCAGTTTTCTGATGCTTCAGGTGTGCTGTGTTTCAGGCCTGGGGCCTCCGACAGACAGTTTACTGCTGCCCTCTAATTAAATAGATTCATGTGGTTAGAGAGACAAAAACTTTCAGACAGTAAATATTTGAAAATCAATCAGAAAGTGTCTGTATAATTTTTTCTGATTGACAACTTGTCTGACATCATTTGCCCTGTTAGTGTGAGTGTGGGGAAATGCACATGTAAGCTCTTCAGAGTGTATACGAAACATGCTTTGTATCCTCTTTGTGAAACAGAAAACGTACTAATATCTTCTTACATGTATACACCAAAGACCCCTCAGGCCTCTGGGGGGGAACCTCCGCTGTCGTGTTGAACTCTGACTGATGTGACATGGTTCTAATAATGGTTATATCCATGTATGTTGAAAATGTATCTGATTAAATGAAATCCAAAATCTGAAAACATCATACAAATGTCACATTTTGAGGCAGGTTTAGAAACACCAAAATCATGTTCCCAGTATAAAGTCAATCAGATGTGATATATGGTAATCCCATAGAAATAGAATTTCTGTTGATAATCCATAAAAATTTATATAAGTTACTGTGTAAATTTAATGCTTGCATGAGATTTATGATAAATAAGGTAAGAAAATGGTGGTCACTAGTTAAAATATTACTTCAACACGTAGCGTTTCAGTAAGGACAGTAAAGGTGCTTTCACACCTGCCCTGTTTGGTTTGGTTCAGTCATACTCAAGTTCATTTGCCCCCTAATGGCTAAAGTATACTTGCTGTACGAAACGCGTGCACGTGCACTTTTCGTGCACGTTTGGCTGCCATGCTTATTTTGCGGTCGTTTGGCACGTAGACCACACACTTTGCTGCGAGGTAGCATGATGCATATGTGAGATGCAATATTGACATGAACACTAGAGGCGCTCGTGCGAAGTATACCTAGAGACTGTGAATGTGAGGTCGGAGGTCATCACAATGGCGGTGAATAATTTTGAAGAGAGGCTGTCGGACCTTGTCCGTAATTATAAGGCATGGTGTGGGTGTTGTGATGCTGTATGTGCACTTCAATGAACGACAGTAGCTCATCAAAAGCATCTACAGACATGCGGAAATATTCCCTGTGCTTTTCCTCATCGATTGCTCGCATTGGTAAAACAAGGGAAACAAACTCCCCATGTGATTGGTTAAGGGACCGCACATACCACCTCCGATGGCGGCTGAGACGACACCTTTTCCTCTGCCAAGATCTAAACAGCAATAAAATTATGATCTCCTCTTCATTGAGAGTGTCCATGTTTGTGTTTATCTGGAAAAATACTGTCACCGCTTTCTTCACTTTTCGCAACCTCTGTGTCTAAGTGCTGCGGTCTGCCCCTAGCGGAGACTACCAATATCAGGCGTTTTGGTTGCATCGATGAACGTCCGTGGTGCAGCAAGTATACACACAGGTGCAGCACACTGTGTACGCGTACGTTTGGCCACGCAGCAAGTATACTTCTCGCTTAAGTGTGGTTCGATTGGGCAGGTGTGAACACAGCAATCACACTCAGGTGTGCACCAAAACAACCGGACTGAGACCTTCTTGAAGAGGTGGTCTCAGTCTGGTTACAAACAAACTCTGGTGTGGTTCGTTTGTGGTGAGAACATGTTCCGACCTGGATCTGAACCAACTGCAGTCACATGACACATTGTTTGGGTTAAACATGAGCATGTTACAGTCCTGGAGGATTATTAATGTGCACCTCCTCCTGTACTGCCTTAATATGCACATTCAGCACATCCAATGCATCAAAACATTGTTGGAGCCGCGCCTCGTTTTCAAACTGTATGGTTTGACTAAAATGAACAATGACAGCAATATAGTCCACGATGTATACCTAGCAACATCACTGCTGTATGCTTTAACTTTAGATAAAGATCATTAAAACATTTGTGTACATCTCAGAAACACCCAGTCACATTTCTGTTTACTTTAACAAGTGTGTAAAAAGGGATTTACATAAAACTAACAATCTAACCAGACTGACCATTTACTCTGTAAATATACTTCATAAAATGGATTGCTTACAAATACACTCCCTGTAAAATATAGGCATACATCTCTATATACATAACTCACTGTATCATTTTATTATTTTTCCTGCCTCCAAGTACGCTCTAAATCATGGCTGGACATATGATTGAGCAAAGGCAAACTACCAAATTGACTAAAATTATACAGCTACCGTCTTTTGAAACATCCAGTATATCAAAGTCTGAAATAAACTCTTAAATCATTTCATCTGCAGATTCCTGGAGAACTTGTTTGCCAAGGTTTGTGGTTTAAAAATATATCATGGAAGTCATGGTGCCAAACAGCAGCAATATACTTTCTGTTTCCATTTTGTGAGCTTGGTATTTGTCCTGCAGTCTGTAGTCAGGATTTATCTCAGAGCTGATGTATTAGACTCCACGTATACAGTAGCACTCATAAACAGGCAACTGAGTGTTTAGCATAGATATATATGTTTTGTGAATTGGCTAAACTGGCCGTTTAATGCACTACTGTAGCAGATGTTATCACTGTATGGTAATTAAGTAGATGCGTAGATTAACTTGGAAAGACTGCACGACATGACCTGACACTGATAATGCAGCCGTCACAAAGTTATATAAGGACTTGACTGATGCCGTTTATACGTACAATGCTTTGAACAAAAGTGTGACAAATGAATAAATGTAAATGATGGATTCCACAACAGCTAATTGATTTTAACATCTTACAGATATAGATGGGAGCCAATGGGTCCCTTGAATGACAAAATAAATACAGTCGGAGCTGTAAAACATAAAAATAAACACTTTTTAAGCCTCCATGCTAACAGTAGCCGTAGCCGTGTGCATTATTTTTTGGGTTGTCCGTCTGGCCCATTCTTGTTAAAGTGATAGACTTTCTTTCTTCAAATCTGGCACAAAGGTCCCCTCGAACTGATTACATTTTGGGTAGTCAAAGGTCAACTTGTCTGTCTTATTCTTATGAACATGATACTTCAAGAACACTTTGAGGGAATTTCTTAAAATTTGGCACAAACATTTACTTGAACTCAACAGAACTAATTAGACTATGATGGTCATAGCTCCAAGGTCAAGGTCAGTGTGACCTTGAATCTGTCCTATTCTCGTGAACACGATATCTCATATACACCTTCAGGGAATTTCTTCAGACTTGACACAAATATTTACTCTTACTAAAGAATAAACTGATTAGAAGGTTGAAGGTCAAAGGTCAAGGTCGGTGTGACCTTACAAAACAAGTTTTTGGCCATAACTCAAGAATTCTTGCACTGGGGCGTCGGTGGCTTAGTGGTAGACCAGGCGACCCATGTACAAGGCTGTTGCCGCAGCGGCCCGGGTTCGACTCAATTAATTACGACAAAACTTGACACATATGTCTAACAGGATATATTGATGAAGTGATGACTGTTTTCCATGGTTTGCAAAATGACTAATGTAAGGTAAACTGTACATTATTGGTATTGGATAAAACATGCAAAACCACTGGTATTGTTCTGTAAGGCCAAACTTCTTTTTATATATTGAGATGTTTTTGGATGTTTTTAATGCTTTATTGATAGTGAGTAGACAGATATGAAAGGGGAGAGAGGGGAGGATCTGCAGCAAAGGGCCCTGGTCCACTATTGAACCCTGGCTGTTGCGGTATGGACTCGACTAAATGGTATGCACTTTACACAGTAAGCTATTAGGGTGTCATGTAAAGCTTAACTCCTTAGTCATGTCACTTCTTTCAGTTACAAACAAACTCTGGTGCGGTTCATTTGTAACCAGCTCAAGACCACCTCTATATAAGTTCAGTTGTTTTGGTGTGCACCTAAGTGCGATTGCTGTGTTCACACCTGCCCAGACACACCTCACTTAGAGGGTAAACAAACTTGAGTTTGATTGAGCCGAACCGAACGGCAGGTGTGAAAGCACCCTGAGGTATCAAAAACATGATTCTTACTTTCAAGTCATTATAAACTAATGAAAACATAGTTATGACTGTTAGATTCCATTTCTGCCAAGAGATGCCTCTACATCCTACACAATGGACCTTAAAATAAACATGATAAAAAAACAGCAGCAGTCACTAATATCTACAGTAATAAAAGTCATTTAAAAAGTTTGATGATGGAATAAAAGATCTCTTGAAGATGTTTCAGGTACCCTACAGTATATCGTCTTCCTGCATAACATTTTATTTCTGTCTCCACAGAGTCTTTGGCTTCTATAAAGGGATCCTGCCTCCGATCCTGGCGGAGACACCAAAGAGAGCAGTTAAGGTGAGATAAAGGATGTTTATCCATAGAAAACCGCAAAGCTTCTCGCACTCATGCAATGCTCCGGCTCCAGTTTCACCTTGAACTGCTCCACTGCTACATGAAAACACTTTAACCGCAGTTGCTCTAACATGGATCACATATGTTGGTTAAACACATGATGTCCGTCAGCCATGTTTGCCTCCTCAGCCACTCCTATTTGTTCTGTAGGCCTACTAAATATTGACTTACAAGCATTTTGTCCAAGCCTTTTCCTGAGCCACCATCTTTTGATATGTGCTTAGGAAGGCTTTCAACATTTTAGGGGCTGACGGGGCACAAATGAGGCCTGATGCATGGCATGGAGCTGCTCTGTAATGAGATACTGGAGAGGAGAATGTGTGAACTTTAAAAATAAGCACTCACACTGAGAAGATGGGGTAATCGCTCACACAGCTAACAAAGCTGGCTGATGGTGAGAAATGTCTGGAACGAGGGATTAAAGCAAATTAAAGCTCCGATTAAAACGCCTCTGCTGGCGTTTTGCCCTTTGCTCGGATAAATAAATCAGTTGATGTGTCTGCGTTAGACTTTTCTCTTTCCACACAGATTGTGGTCTCAACATAGTGTGTTTAGCCAATGCTCACCCGAGTTCCCCTTTCCTCCTGCATGTTTTTAAGGTAGCAGCTTTTAATAATGTGTGTCTACGTTGGGTGTGTTTGTGTGTGGAGATGTCAGTTTATGAATGCACTGTGACTTTCTGACAGCTTGTTTGTCCTGATCTTCCCTTTGCAGTTTTTCACCTTTGAGCAGTACAAGAAGTTGCTGAATTTGACCCCTTTGTCTCCTGGTGTGGTGAGTGTCTACACACAGAAACACCTGAATACACTCTCACCTGAAAAATAAACACTCACACACAGGACCAGGAAGAGTGTTACACCCAGTGTCAAAAATCAGCGTTTCAGCTCAGGTGCCAAAGGCTGGTAAAACAAAGACAAATGCCAAGAATAATTTTACTGGGCAAGTTACTTAATGTAAATCAATGCACATTTGTCAAAGCACAGGTTTAAATACTGTGTCATTTACAAATACAAATAATGCATGAGTACGCTTAGAGAATTAACTCCACATTTACATGTTTCTTCTTCTGTTCTTACTACTCCTGGCCTAAAAAATCATTCACTCTGTTTTGTGAGAGGGTTTTGTGAGAGTTTACTATTGTGGCAAATATAAAGTTTGCATAATGGCAACTTTACTGACTTAACGAGTCTTCTCACATTGGACCGGATAAAAAGTAAACTTCTCAAGTGGGGTTTAAACGAGGAGAGCTGGGACAACGCTTCTTAGAAATGTCTTAATTATGTTGTTGTGGCAAAGTAATCGCTTCCTGGATTATGTTCAGAGACGACGTGTCTTTCAGTTAAGGAAACTCTACATTCGTGCACCATGTAGGCTTTGGACGGAGGCAGTTGGGGAGGATGGTGGGCATACAAAGAGCAGGAAAGTGACACCAGAACTTTGAGTTCATGTCCGGACTCCTCTCTTAGGTTTAGGCAACAAAAGCACTTTGGCAAAGGTAAGGGGAAGATTGTAATTTTGGTTAAATGTTAATAATAAAAAAAATAATAATTATGCTGTAGTCACTATGTGTGGATAAAGTTATAATAATTGCAAGATTGCCTATTGTGGTGGAAAACAACTGAAACATGTTCAGTATCAATATTTTTGCAACTTGCTAGACATATTAATTAGCAGTTAGCATTCTTTATGGTACGCCATCCAAACTCCTAAATAAACTCCAATACATCCAGAACTCTGCTGCCCGTCTGCTCACCCATTCCCGATCCCACGATCACATCACCCCTGTCCTCCTGAACCTCCACTGGCTCCCTGTCCCACAACGCATCCAATTTGAAGTCCTTCTCCTCATTTATAAAGCCCTCTGTAACCAGGCCCCCTCCGACCTCACTGACCTGCTCCACCGCCACACTCCTTCCCGCAGCCTCCACTCCTCTGATGCCAACCTCCTGACTCCACCACTATTATTAATATTTCCTCATTACATTAACAGAAAACGTATTTCTGTTAATATACAACATATTTGCTGTTCCAGATTAGTTGTATATAAACGTAATTTGTAGGAGACAGGGCTGACCTGTAATGACACGTTTGTTAGGCGTTAAGCACATGTGAAGTCATCCTTAATGGCTGACGGACACATTGAAATACAGGTAACTGAATAAAGATATCTAACCAACTTAAATGCATACCAATTTGGGTCCAATTTAACCTGCACTACATTGTTATTTAACAAAAAATACCATGACTGTCAAACCAACTGGAGTAAACCACATAACAAATGATGAGTGAGATTCTGCTGTAAGATTGTAGTTGTAGTAAAATGCTTGATTACAGATGTCAGTGTGAATCAAGTTTCATACTTCTAAAGCTCCTGTTTTAGGAGTTAGACATATGAAGTGTTGCATTTAAAATCAGCTGATCAGGGCGGCTCCGTGAGCTCATGTTCCTGCCTAAACCTCCACTGTATCAGCTTCATTCCAGGCATCAGAGCTGCCAGAGGAAAAGTTTGGTGTCAGTACAACTGGCAGCTTGTCAGGAGCCATTTTTTTATTGCAGAGGCATTGTTCTGATTTTTATGGGCTCCAAATGTGAGTCAATGTGTAATGTTTAGCATGGGCAAATATAATCTTCCAGAAACATTACAAGTCAATGCAAATACATTTTTTACTGGTGGCATGCTGTCTGTACTGTGAGTATCAGGAGAGTTTTGCTTCGGATCTTTATTCCATCACGTTGGATTTGAAATGTAACAATGACTATTATAGTTAGGTGCGTGCTTAAAGGATTACTTCATCCACAAAATGACCATTTGGGTGAATTTTTCTATAACTCACCTGTAAAATTTTTTATTAAGGCTTAAAGTTATGCATAATTATGGGCAAGCCATTATAACTGACAGGCTGTCTGCAAGGCCATGCTACAGTCCATGAATCAGATCTACCCCTCATTCCTCCACAGCTCCACCCACTCTCCAAATATGGTCACTTCTGGCAGTGGTCGAAATGCCAATCTCGAGGCTTCAAAACAGGAGTTCACAAACCAATGGGTGACGTCATGGTGTCTATGTCTGTTATTTTGTACAGTCTGTATTTATAATGGATCATTTGACAGCAGCCATGTAGGACCGTTGGCAAAAGTTTTAGGCATGGCAGAAATCCAACCGATCATCTAACAAGCCAGATTGTTTATCTTTCAGGCAATTAATTGGGTGTTGTCACCCTCCTCACACTGCAAGTCAAACAACAAACAATTCAGCATGTAATTGGCCAAATTCTAAAATTAGTCGAGCTTAACAGTGTCTGCCAATTTCAGACTGAGCGGTTGTATGTTTACAAACTAGTAGTACTCAAGGTAAAAATGAATAAGAGCTTGAAAGACCAAAAAACCTTTTAAAGCTGAATTTCGTCACTTAAACCTCAAAGTCATTGTTTCATTTGAATCCATTGTGGTGTAGTGAAGCCAAAATAATTACATGCATTACGCCGTCCTAACAAACAGACTCTGCTGTATGTTTGCTCGGTGGTTATTAATTCTGGAGACTGGTTACACCTCAGGCCATGAATCTACAAGTGGTTTCATCCTTCTTGACCAGCCTGGTTTCTGTTATATTGAGTCAGAGTTTTAAGCTAGACAGATCTGTGTTGCTGGGGTGCGGTCACCACACTCTGCCTATTCAGGTGGCAGCCAAGTGTCAGGAGTGATGGATGGCTTACCTGTAACTCAGCATGAAGGCCGCCCCAGCACCGCACATATCCTCGTCTTGTTTTCACAGCCATTGGTGGAGAAATGTTTACCTGTCCCATCCATCATGCTCTCCACCTCCTTCTCTATCTCTTCATCTTCCTCTTCCTCAAGTGCCTCCAACCCCATTTACCCCAGAGGCCCTCGCCTATCAAGTACTGTAATCACATCAGATCATTAGTGCGAGTGAATTACAGATTGATTCTGAATGGCTCTCACTCTCCTTTTCAGTGTGGCACAGCTGAATGCCTTCACTCTGATTAATGAGGACACACACAGTAATAATACAAATAAGGAATTAAAACGTGGCTGGCTTGCTGTGTAAACATCACGAGGCATGTCTGAGAGGATGGGTCCTGGGGCCCTGACAGCAGGATAAAGAGGCAGGAAGAGTAATGAGCTATAGACACGTTCTTGACAGGTTCCCATTACGCTTCTCTGCATGCACACATGCACACACACATGCACACCCACACACTTATACAGTCCCATGCAAATCCATGCAGTTTTCAAAAAGTCCCCTATTAATTACATGTCAGGGTTAAATATTTACAAGTAGGTAGTGGTTGTTCTTACCTCTTATATCGCATCGGGTGGCACAAAACAAATTAAAGTAGAATTTTTATTTTTTTCTTCCTTTAACTGAATTTTCCACCTTTTAATAACGAATCTTAAACAGCTTGCTACTCACCTTCCTAGTTTTTCTCCTTTTGTTCATTTTCCTCTGCCTCCTGTAAGTCATCCAACATCTTGTCAAGTGATAACAAACACAGGTGTCTCGTGTGTCTTCAAGCATTTGTCAGATGACAACAATGACAGACATGACAGAAACAAATGTCGACTTTAGACAGGACAAAAAGACTTGGGGAACGAGTTTCTGAAAGCGAAACTTCGATTCAACGTCAAGCTCTGGCAGCTCAGTCAGATAGTTGTCCTCATTAGTTGCGGTTACACGGACTATATTTCTTCAAGTGGATTAAATCATCCTGATCAGAGATTCCAACTTAACTGTTTATACGGACACTAAACAAAATGATTTGATAACACGCCTCAAAGCGTGTCATCTGAATATAACTATTTGACTTGCGCAACATGGTTTCAGCTGCTGTGAAGTGTCCAATCTGCCCAACATATAACACAAGGAGAAGGTGTTTTCCCACCTTTTTTGAGAAGATTCAGTTCATTCAAGTGTAGAAGGAGAGGATGTTCTTTCATCCGTTAATACAGTTTAGTAATAAGTAACGTAAAGTGTAACCCAGGTTATTTTCTTTACCAACAAATAACAGATGTCCCCGAAATACTTTGCATGCAGACTACTACCGGCGTTCCCTAAACATGTCATATACAGGCCACTGCTACAGGTAGCGATAGACGATTATGTCCAGCAATGCCACTCCTGTAGCGACGTTACACAAGGCTACTGTTTCTATCAGAGAATACATTTATTAATCAGAGCACTCACATAAGAACGCAACAGAAGCGCGTTGCATTCACTGTATAAATAAAAAAAATCGACACATTATCTCGTAATTACGAGATCTTATGTTGTAATTACGACTTATCTCAATGTGCTTCCGTAGTCTACAGATATAATGATTTTATTCTGAAAAACCTTGACTGGAAGTACTGTCCTTGTGTTTCTCAGTAGACTCACCTTACAAATCAGCTAACATTAACGTTATTATGGAATCAGCGAAAGGCCTTATTGTAGTACAACATCGGGATCTCTACAAGATCTCATAATAACGACATAAGGTCTCATAATTACAAGATAATGTGTTGTTTTTTTATTTATTCAGTGAATGCAATGCGCTTCCATAGATGCAGCACTAGCAGGGCGCTAAATATTTTTTTAATTTATAAACTCTGTCAAAATCAACACAGGAAGGCGCACAGAAACAGCTGTTGCAGCATGTTGTGATAATGTAACTGAGGGCACGTTCAATCTCAAAATGTTTTGCTATGGTTTCCGGGTTGAATGATATGAGACGGTGTGCAATGGGCTTTGAGGTACGTTTTCTTTTGTTTGGTGGGTGTGTCAGAGGTGGTACCCAATCAGCAATGTCTAGTAGATCTTTACCTAATGTTCTTTTTTGTTGTTATATTTTACACTAAACATATGTCCCCATGCTAATAAAGCCCCTTTAAATTGATTGTAATTAAACCCCACTGTACTAAAAGGCAGTGCGATTGCAAAACACGACAGTGTTCAACGTACCACTGTTTCTGTTGGTATAAATGTTTTGCTACATTTCGTCAGGGCTGCCCTCATGTTACCTCCATGTGGGGCAAACATGCACAAATAAAATATATGTATTTATTCCAATGAGAGAGAAACAATCAGATTAAGTGTTCACACGGTCATTGGGCGCTAATATTTCCTATTAAAGGGGTTATCACAAGGTTTACACCACCTCTCTCAACCCCATTGAAAATTTCTTACGATTTGATGGGCTCACACCGGGTTCTTCCTGTTGAGGTGGTCACATAAGACTTTTTTGTTCTGATTATTAGATGAATATTTAGGTCCAAATAAATCAATTATTGTTTAAATCTGTTTTGCCTATTCTGCTCTGTCTCTACCCAAATATTATCTCCACATTCTCACTCCTAAATCACATTGATCTCCCCTCCAGGCACTGTCTGTAGCAGGGCTCGGCGCAGGCTTGACTGAGGCTGTTGTCGTCAATCCATTCGAGGTGGTGAAAGTCAGTCTCCAGGCCAACCGTGACGCCTTCAAACAGGTTGATAGAAATAATATGTTGTAATATGCTCTTTTCTGTGAATGCCCAGTGTTTTGTTTTTTGTCATTATGTGACATTTTCTTTGAATTCATTCTCTCCAATACAGCAACCGTCTTCATTCGCTCAAGCAAGGCACATAATTAATGCAAACGGATTTGGGCGGAATGGCCTGAATAAAGGACTAACATCGACACTGGGACGCCACGGAGTTTTCAACATGATCTACTTTGGCTTCTACTTCAACGTCAAGGATGCTATTCCCACCAACCCGGTAATATGCCAGTCAAAATCTATGATCACACTCCGACCTCCAGTGCTGTTTTGATTTTAGGGACAAATGCAGCCGAAGCCAAATGACAGATGCACCACTCCAGCTTTGCTTTGGTGTTTGTAACCTTGACTACACCTCGTTTCTTGCTAACTTCAGGCTATATGATATGCACATGTCCCAGCCACCTCGCCAGTGGGGAATTGCAAGTGTTTGACAGTATGATTAGTGATCCTGACTGCCATGGCAAAGAGGAAGCAGAAATCAGAGAGGAGCTTGTAAGATCAGCCCTGCTAATACCTCCGCTGTTTGCTCGTCATAACATCCTCAAAGTTTCAGATTACACATCCGGCAGTGCCTGATGGCCCAAACAAGTTAATTTTGTTTAATGGAAACGTTACCATACGCCAGCTCCACATGTACAAACCGGAGCATTAGATTAACTCCGATGAACTAATTGGAAGCAGACAACAGTACTATTTTCAAGACAAGGTTACAGTGGGAGCCCGGGCGCTGCTATATTTTCAACATTTTTCCAGTGACGCATGGTGTACAGAGGAGCAAGTGGTCATCCTCTGTGAATGATAATTATGTGGCTGGATGACCCAAATAGCTCTCTTCTTAGATTGTGGCCGTCGCTTTTGGGAATGATCCATCGGTATGTACGGTGAAGAAATGATCCTGTTTGTGAGAGGCTAACGACGGCTATTGTTGAGGCAGCAAAGAATAAATACTGCGGCCACCGACAGCTCACAGGCTGAGCTGATAGTGGCGTTTCTCCAAAGCCCTTTTGTCAGCAACATGAGCAATGAGCTTGCAACTCAAACATGTCCATAGTCAAATGAAGTTGGCCGAGCTCAGGCTTCTCTCACATCTCTATTTTAATAGTGCGGAGGAGGCAGATAGCACACTGCCATCATTCACAAGTGAATGTGTGAGGAGATGTTTGCTTAAGGCTGTTAGGAAGTGGGTTGATGGGTGTACTTAGGCCGCGGGTATGTCGCCCCCTTCCCCACATCCCACTTGAAAAAAACAGAAGAAGTGGGATTAGCTGTTGATTTACCTCGGCTCTCAGGGTGTCCACCCGCTTGAGAAAGGCCTGGACCAGAGAGGCTGCTGTCATTTGTAAAAATATCCCGGCCAATTAGCTGTCAGAGCTCTCTGAGTCTGGGCTTCTTTGGTACAGTAATACCCCTGTGCCGAGTCACAGCCCAATTACCCAAATTGTCCCCATATGCCTCCCCAGTCTGCCTGCATGCACCCTGTTTATAAATCCTCTGTCTTGGCTCCCCCAAAGAACATGTGCTTCTGCTCAGCCAATCAGAGCGCTGCACCACAGTCAGGAAGCACTAATCTGCCCCCCGCTACCATAAAATGATCAGGGCTTTCATGCCAGCTTTGCAATCATATGCACAAGCCCCCTCATGCTCTCCCCCCTCTTCTGCTCACATATACATACACATAATGTCTCACCACTTACTTAGTCAACTCCGGGGCACTACTTTCTCTCTGGTGCTGTAAGTCTTATTTACAACGTATGTTTCGTGCAATGATATTTAACACCTGGTGCCCACTCTGGAAATGTTTCCAGTAAAATGGTGCTTGTTGAACATACTTACCAGGATTTAGTGTTAATGTTTTTTTTCTCACTTGCCACACATGAAAGGGTCAGAAAAATACTCACCTGAACTCAATTTTTACCTGCGCCTATAATAATCGTTTTATTTATTAACAGTTATCAGATAACAAGAAAGACCAAAGTTAATTGTCATGAGAAACAACCCCGATTTAACTTATGACAAACTGTGCATTACATAGTCGGAGCTAAGCCAACATCCTCCAGCGCCACCCAACATAACTCCTGTTTCCAGGATAAGTGAAACTTTTTCTTTACTCACCACCATTTTCTTGCAAGTGCTTAGTCGGCACTGCGCATGTGCAATTCTCAACAGAGACGAGCAGCGAGAAGGCTTTCTCCTTAGCTACATCCATCACCAGCTCTGGAGAAAACAATGTTTAATTCTCTTTTATTATTTCTTCGATTGGACACGTTAGTTGCTCGAGTTACTTGCCCCCAAACTATTGGGCACTCCTTATTGTTGAGTCCTTTATACTTTATTTTAATCTTGTATCCCTTCTTCTTTACCAGGACCCCACCCTGGAGTTCCTGAGGAAGTTTGCCATTGGCCTGGTGTCGGGGACCATCTCCTCCTGCGTTAACATTCCCTTCGACGTAGCCAAGAGCCGCATCCAAGGCCCCCAGCCTGTGCCCGGAGAGATCAAGTACCGCACCTGCTTCCAGACCATGGCGCTGGTGTACCGGGAGGAGGGGTACGAGCAAAGGGGGGGTTAAGCAGAGGATCAAAAGTAAAAAAAAAAATTAAAACACTGGCACTGATGCATCCAAGAATTAATGAGGCACTTTGTCTGTTTTGTTAGCAATTGATAGTTGGTTATCTGCCAAGCTAGCTGTCAGAGAAGACAAATGTAGCAGCTGCAGCTACATGTTAGCAGGGTTTGATTGTGCAGCGTGAGTTTCCTGCACTAACTACAGAGGAAGTGTACGAACAGCTTAATGCAAAGCTGTGATCCGATGAATGGAAACCAAATAGTGACGTTACATTCTGGGCCGTGTTCCCCACGTGTGTGATCATACATCTCTGCAGTCTGTCAGACGTACAGTAAATGTTAGCATATTTTCAAGCCTCGCAGAATGGCAGCTCTAAATGGAAGCTTCAAGGAAAAGATGTATGTTATGTTAGCAATTGCCCCAGGCGCTCCACTTTCCCCCATGCAGCTCAAGTAGACAAGGGCCAGCGAGATGTTTGTAGTTAGTGGATGCAGGAGCCTCGGGGGCGGCTGCAGGAACGGCACTGAAACGTTGTCGTCGCAGGGGTGCGTGGAGGGTGCCCCCTCCGCCACATCCAGTCCCCTGCTCTAACACAACACAGTCCCAGCTAATTAGTGGTCCCTATGGGAGACGTCGTTAAGCAGACCCTAACGAGCCGCACGGCGCTCCACGGGTCAATCTAATCAGACAGAGGGCCAGGGAGGAAGTGGGTCGAGCCTTATTAACGCCATCAGTGGCGGGGGCAGGGAGCGGGACAGGGAGCACGAGGCGGAGGCAGGCAGCCACTGATCACCTTGAATGCATTAAGGGGCAGGTACTCACCACCGCTGGTCGTTAGACCCCAGCTATGTACCTGACGGGGTGAGAGACAGGCAGCCAGGCAGAAAGACAGGCTACAGGCTACACACACATAGTAAAGGCAGACATGGATGAAAATAGTCCTCTGTTGACTTGATTCACATATTTTGAGTTTTAACTACAGTACTTTGTATTTGCAAATATTTAACATCCTGTTTTTTTCTGTAGGTACTTGGCCCTGTACAAGGGGTTGGTGCCCAAGATAATGAGGCTTGGACCAGGTAACAATAAACACTTCTTTATACTGATATCAAAAATGTCCATATAATCACAAATTGCTTGCTACAGCCGATGCAAAGGGGTTTAGTTTGAACTAGATCTAATAGAAACAAACTGAAATCTATGTTTTTAATGTGCGGGAACTCCCAAATTATTAATCTAGATGGAGCTTTCCAACTTACATCAGTGTTAAATTCACCCTTCATGAGTTTTTCCAATGAAATGAGGCAGGAACAAACACTACTTCCTTCTCAGATGTGTTAATTCTTACTGTTTTGTACTGTAACAAAACAGACAAATCCATGTTTACATTATTTTTGGTATCTACTGTATGTGATGTTTGAATTGTAATATTGAGAGCCAGAATAACTGCCAACCCTAATATTCTTCCTCATAGAGTGCTGCAGGAATGAGTCCTTAAACCCAGAAATGAGTTAGCATGTTAGCACTCTTGGTTCCCTCATCTTGAAGTCAATGGGTTTTTGGTTAGATGCCTGAAATAAGATCTGTGGTTAACTCAAGCTTAAGAGACTTCTACATTTTGATCTGCAACATAAAACATGCCAGTAAATACTCCACTCATGATTTTTGAAGCTCTTAAGTGTCCCTAAAAAAGGCATTTGCCAACAAGTAGTTAAATGAGACTACAGAACGTCATCACGCCGAACACGGCTTTACAGCCTCACTGTGGTGGCGATGTTAAGTCATGATATTGTGGTGTAGTTGGTTTATAGCCTTACGTTAGCTTTTTCCCTCTGGCGATTGCATTTACGCTTCAGAAATCATAAAAGTGGTGTTCATTCGTGAAGATTATCTGGCTGAACATAACATGAAAGCATGGGCGGATTATGCGACAATGGGCCCCTGGGCACAGACATGCAGAAGACCCCACCCCCACTCCCACATTGGAGCAAGACACACAGACTTTGTAGTTGTTTTGTGTCTCTTTTTAGTCGTTTTATGTTTCTTTGTGGCATTTTAAGTCTCCTTCTGGTCACTACACTCAGCACATTCTTGCTCTGATCTGTGTTTTGGTCATGGACTTTTCACGTCCACATACAACGTGCAAAGTACCCTGGGTGCGTTGGATGTTGACTTCTGGGACATTGTGTCAAGTTCTGCTTGTTGCATGCATTATCTTCTTTCAAAATACACTTTCTTTCACAGGAAATTTAAGTCGGTACAACACTGCGTATTTACGTTGTTTTTTTTTTTGTTTTTTTTTTTCCCTTCAACAAACACACATGGTTAGGTTTAGGCAACAAAAATACGTGGTTGGATTTAGGAAAAGAAAATAGGGTTTGGCTTTAGAATCTCACAGAATGTGAACACCTTTCTCTCGGGTGAAAGTCAATGTTTGTTGGACCCATCCACAACCCCTCCTGCTCACCCACATGGACTTTCGCCGCCTTGATTTTCGTCCTTGTCCTGCCGCGTTTCCCCTGCCGCCGCCGGGTGCCAATAAACTATAACAGCAACCAGCCGCGTATCATGCCGATGTAAAGGATGCCTTCTTTCCTTGGTTTCTGATGCCGCTAGCCACTGCTCAAGCACCGGATTTCAACAACTTTGGAGTGAGACGGGGCTCGCACACGTCTCTTGGAGTGACATTTTGTAGGTAAAGGTCAGAGGGGACATTTTTGGTTCCTGGGCCTGTTCAGTAATCCATCCATGCATGTAAATATCTAAAACATTTGTTTGCCACAGAGCTTATCCTCTGTAATTATGCAAAATTCAATGGGAAAATCCCACTGGCCTATTGTCGAGGGAACCAGGGTGAAATTTCAGGGCTGACCTACAAATAAATGTCATCCCTGCAGCACTCTATTTACCCATCCATGTAATGTCCATATATAATAAAGTATATTCTTGTGTTCCTATTGGTTGCGTAGCTGGCGCTGCTTATTCACTAGCAGAGATATACAGGTTGATTCACTGCGTCTTTCTTCTTGTTTGGTTACAGGTGGAGCGGTGATGCTGCTGGTCTATGAATATGTGTCTGGATGGCTGCAGAGGAACTGGTAACAAAAAACAGCACAGAAAGGAAACCCAAGAGAGTGCCTTATGGATCGTATCACAATGCTGTTTCCGTTAACTGACTCCAGTAACGTCAGATCAAATTAGTTCTTAGTTTGTTTTTTGTTTTGTTTTTTAACTTGAAGACACAATAATCATCTGCAAAATACCAAGTCAGCATTACAATAAAACTTAGAATGCAAACTTTCTAGGGACAAACATCTTTATCAGAGTTACTTTCTCAGGAATGAAAACCAGCTGGAATATTTGAAAACTGACAAATTCTTTTCTAATGGAAAACATGTTTTTAACAGTGGATCAGTAGGTTTTAAACGCCCTGAAATCCTACTGGCTCAATCCACTTCCTACCATGAGTAATGAGGTCCTACATGAACACAATATTCTCTGCCAAAGTTAAAACAGTTTTTCGTTATTTCACATGAGACATTTATGTATTTCATGCCTTTTTTTTTGCTGCGCTCCTCTCTCTGGTTTACAGTGGGCGGTGCTCAGTTGGGAAAGGTTGTGGGGTTGTTTGCTCATGTTGCCAGTTCTGTCTGTCAAATCTGAGCAAACCACACCCTCACAGCCCTGATGAAGCAAATAATGTGAGCTTTTACGCTTCTCATCTCTTAAAGAGTAATAGCGAAGAATGTTTTTTCATGAAGTAGCTTTTTTTAGTCAAGATACTTAATGTTATAGCTCTAAATATTTGAAACCACGTTTTCAGGGGCTTTAAAGCTGGGGTAGGCAGTTTTCTGGGAAACGGGACAGCCACTTCTTACATTTCTCCCCTGTCTGTCCTAAACCCCTCCCACCAGACGAGCATGTGTTTCATACAGTGACCTATATGGGTACTACTCAGTCATTTCAGTCATCCTGAATGTGATTGTGATCCTGTTGTATAGCATCAATTCTATGAGAATTACCGTCCTGTTTTCTTTTCAATTGTTGGGGCCTGTAAAGCCTTTTGAGATGACAGTGACTACGTTTACATGCACAAAATTTTCCAGTTCTTGCCCTTATTCTGAAAAAGACAATATTCCTATTATGCTGTTTACATGGCTAATGAAAATAATTATTCCACCAATATTCCTGTTTATATGCAACCGTGCATACTCCGATTAATGTGACCTTAATGTGTCGTCTTAACGTCAAAATATGGAAAGGTGGATCAGCCATTTTGCTTCTTTGCATCAATGTAGAATTTTTTCAGAGTTTCCCACAAGTTGGGCGGCCATTAGCTCACCTGGTAGAGCAGGTGCCCCATGTACAAAGGCTCTGTCCATACCGCAGTGGCCGCGGCCTCCATTAAAACCCACAGCCCCCTGCTGCATGCCATTCCCGACTCTCTCCCTTCACGCCAAAACAGACTGCCCTATCAATCAAAGGCAAAAGCCCTAAAAAAAAAATTCATGTAAAAAAAAAAACATTCCCTACTTTAACCATTCAAACGCAGCCTCCCTCTTTCATTCCTTCAACCACCTTCTTGAAAAGGTCAGCATTGAGATACTTTTGCGTATCCGAAAACCTGTTGATATCCAAGTCTTTCATAATGTTTAAAAGTAGGTGTGTTTCTCCTTCCAACCAGAAATGTGTGCATTTCTTCAACGCACAGAGCTGACTGCTTTGTGTCGCAAACTGTGGTAAAAACCCCAATTCAGACACATATTCTGAAGGCGCTGTAAACATGTCCAAAGAATGAAGAATGAAGAAAATGAAGAAAAACTGGACTAATACCAGCATATCCCACAAGTCTTAATTGCAAAGTACTAAATTTGCAAAATGGCCTAATTTGGAATATTCAAACAGAATTTGCTGTCTATATGACCCATATCAAATTAGGAATATTGTCATATTTGACAATGTGCATGTAAATGTAATCAGTGTGATTTGAGGCTCGAGCTTAACGTGACATTACCATGAACTTGAATTAGCCGCAGACGTGAGCCTCTGCCTACTGTTAGCAGAAGGCTAAACTGTTAGTAACATTTTCTCTCCATCTCTGAAACACTTAGCTTCTTTCGTTTGTTAGTTCGTTAGTTCGTTTTATCATCAGAGTTTCTTTTAGACTGTTTTTAATAAGTCTACCTTCCTTTTTTTAGACAGTTGTTGCCAGTGCTGGAAAAACAACTTCCTCTGCAGGGTTCTCCATCATTGAAACAGGCCTTCACCATCTAAAGGGACGTGCAGTTGCATCTGCATTTATAGAAGAGCCAATAGGAACGCCCTCTCTCCTAAATGACCTGTGATTGGCCAAAGTATCCCGTCACACGCTAGATTTTCTAAAGCCTGAAAAGAGCAGCAAGAGGAGGTGCAGAAGTGTAGTTTTCTCTCAGACCACTTGAATGACAATATGCTTAAAAGTTAATAAGGCGCAATGGCATGCAAAAATAAAACTGCCTATCCCAGCTTTAATGGTCAGTTTCAAAACACCAGGGAATGAGTGAAGGCATGTTACAACAGGACTTACAAAACACACTCAGCTCTACACCCACTGTAGAGCACACAGATATAAGTCATGGTTATATAGCTGCACAGAACGCAATACACACCGAGGTCATCTGTCTCTATCAAACATCAGTCTTATCTTAATGTAAACTGCTCATTGAGGAGCAGTTTTTGAAGTCTGCTACAGTGCACACACACCTACTACAGCAGTGTCTATATGCACACACTCTGTTAATACTGTGTGTCCATGTCTTCATGTATAACAATGCATACGTGATCGCAATTATATGCTATGATCACACCCGTAGTACTGAGCCTTACTGTACACCTCAGACAAACCAAATAGCCGCAGTAGTGCCTGATAATTCATACAAGAATTACTGTGTGTAGGAATTTCTTACACACATTTTTAAGGCCTATTGCAGAACTTTTTTAATGAATATCTTTTTGCATGACTGATGTTTTTCTGTACCTCTTTTAATTGGACGTGTGTGAAAGCTTTTATTAGTAAGAAATTGTGTTAATCTGACTTATCTCAATGTAATTATCAGCATTTGTCAAAAGCTACTTGTTACAAATAAAAAAAGAATGAAACTAAACTCACTTGGTTCCTCACTGTGTGTGTGTGCATGTATGTGTGTGTTTGGAGTGTGTTAAGCACTTGTGCGCCCTGTAAGTTTGTGTTGCTGCGTGTTTGCCTCTCACTGGGAGCGTTTGAGCTTGGCATCGATATAAGCGTATCACCTTCCTTCACTTAACCACTTCTTCACCCTCCTCCTCGTCAGAGCACTGTTGTTTGAGAACCTGTCAGCTGTATTAGCCAACCCGGTGTCAGTCTTTTCTCAGTCTCTCTCGGTGGCGGCCTGAGCACACAACGCTAGTGCAAGCTAAAACAACAAGCTCAAGAAATGCAAATGTGGCTGCAGGAATCGGGGGTTACCGCACACATTTCTCTCCCTCTGCCAATCTATCTCTTACACAAATATGCACACACACACATGCAAACACACACACACCTGTTGCACAGCCTTCGGGGTAGTGGCTGCTCTGTAAGAGACTCATCTTAACCTCATCTGGTAGTAGCTTACACTGAGCCACGTTGGCATTTGACAGTCATCATTAATGTGGGAGTTTCTCTCTGCCAAAATGGAACGGCTCCTGGTTTTTTGCCCAGGGGGCACGTGGTGATAGACTAACAACTGCGGCTTGCAGACTGATGGAATTGTAAGCGCTTAACGTGTCCTTTTTGTAGTGGAGTGCTGAGCGTGTATGTTTGCTTCAGACTTCACAGTTAGCAACATGTGCAGCGTGTATTACTGGTAGCCAGGCAACAGAACCACCCTTCACCTGAATTCCCTGCACACACCGCTGATCATAAATCTTTTGCAGCAAAGTCCCCCTTCTTTACACCTTTTCCATGTACGCTCCTCATCTTCAGCAGTAACATTTCAATTCAGTGGCTCCACTCTGACAAGCCTGCAATTTGGACATGGCCGTACCTGTCTGTCCCTGTGTGTTTAATGATTAATATAAATTAAAATGTCCAGGATTTACACTGCATGTAAAAAGCAGTTTTTCATGCAAGTGTGATTGGACATTGAAGCCGCGTGTGTACATACCAAAGACGCGGAACCAGACATGTGATTTTCCGAGCCCAGTTTTTCTTTTCAAGAGCTTTTACTCACCTGTGTGCTCAACGTTGCTGTTTTAAGGCATTAAGAAAACATTCTGGCTGTTGTCAGCTTCTTTTAGAAATGTTCAATGAGCAGGAACACGCATGAAGTGCTGTGTTCGCCCCGTACTCTGCTCTGTGTTACCCTGCAAATGGCTGTCTTGTGTCTGATTGCATGTGGAGAAGTAAAGATAACCATATGACACTGAAGTCAGACTCGACATCATTAATTATAAACACGTGTCTGCCCCTATTTTTAAAACTACGCCTTTTAGACCCTCGCCTCCATAAAGCTGACCAACATTAGACTACAAGAGCAGGGATGATTAGACTTTCGAGAAGCTTTTCCTCCTGTCTAGAAAACACACTGTTCCTATTTTTTAAATACTGGTGTCAATTAAGACGACCACATTTTAATTTTGTTGCATGAGTCAGAGGAGGCTAACAAGGCTGTGCTCAGTTCATGTAGCTTAGTTGAAAGGAAAAGTTGTTTGGCCTTGTGTGTAGGCTGAGGTAAAAAAAAAAAACAACAAAGACGAGCATGTAACGACTTTTTCATGTCACTCAGAGAGTTAACCATCATTTACTGTATGTGATGGATGGTGGAGGGTAAAGGGGTGGCCGTGAGGGCTGGCTGGTACAGCGAGTGTATGATCAGCACGTCCCTGTGATGTGGTTCACATACGGTCAAAGAAACACTACGATCCCTGAGCAACGGTCCGTGACCACTGGATGCGGAGAAGAGTGCTTTCCAAGTCAAATCAGCCCCTGCATGGGGAGGACTGTTGACACTGTCGCATGAAGGGACTGTTTCTGCCGTAGCACAGGAGGAATGGAAACATGGGGCCTCTGAACCCTCATCAGCAGGTAATGCTATGTAAAAGAGCAGGTGAGCCATTTTATCAAGTTATTAATCTACAGCTTCACGTCCACGTCGGAGCCCAGTTTGTTTAAATCTCTGGTTTCCACTGCGGGGCTAGACAGGGCTTGCTGTAATTTATTACACCACACTTCCCCCCCTCATAACTTTCAGAAAGTATTTTTGCATCATTTTGCAAACATGTCATTTGTCAGCCGGGCCGTGCGCTTTTCTTTTGTAATGAACACGTTGAGTCGGCCCTGACAAGCCCTGTTTGGGCCTTTTTGTGGCCGCCGAAGGTTCGTGTTTGGGTCACATGTCTGATGACCTTGGAGACCGCAGGCCAATGAGCCTATTTGTGGCTCTCTGAATGCACATGGACGGACTCCACCTCACCCCGGGAGTCTGGGAGTCTTCGGCTTGGAGATCTCGAATTTTAATGCAACAGCGATTTTCTAATTTACTGTGTTTTACACACGCCTAAATCCAGCTGAAGAATTCTTTATGGCTTAAAATTATAATGCATGACCTTAGACCCTTGCTTTGATTTACAAAGGATAGCAGGGCTTTCAAAATCACACCACTCCCTTAGAGATATTTACTTCAAATTAGAAAATATGTCTTTATATTTCAGTAATGCCTCTGACATTTTTTTTTTAATTTTTATAACTTAATTTCCAACATAAAATAAATGCTTCACACCCTGAACTTATTTGAGGAAATTGTAAATACATTTTATCTATGTCTAAATGTTTTGTAGGACTGCTTACAAATGTGAAAAATATATATCTAGATGCATAATTTAATTTCTTTAACTCATGTTAAGCAAATGTCAGCAAATATTGAAGCATAAATGTTTATGAATATAGAACGGGCCATATTAAGTGTAATGGGGTGAAGGTATTTTAATGACTAAAACAATTTTAAAAGATTTTTTCTTTATGTGGTGACAAAGCCTGTGTGTGCTCAAAGCACTTCTGATGAACTTTCCTAGTGAGCTGTGACGCTTGGTAATAGAAAATACAGGCCTTGCGTGAGTGTGCACATATATTTTTTATGAAAAGCAGTTTCCTGCTTATGTAAAACAGGCCGGCAGGCGACAGCACCCTGGATTTACCTGAAGTTAGCTACACTAACAGACAAAACAAGTGAGGATAATTGTTTTGTACATTTCCTGTCCTCAGAATAGAAACTAGTTTTCTCCAAAACAACCTTCAAACTCCAATAACAGCCAAACAATTTAATAAGATACATTCAATTTCATTGTGCAACATTTGTCAATTGTTACTGCTCTAGACTCCAACATCAGACCAATGCCAATTTTGTCTAAACATGCGTGGAGATCCCCATGCTGTCTGTTAGGCTAATTGCACTTCATTCAACGTACCTTAATCTAATAAATAAACTTCTCTGTGGAGCTCCTGCAGAGGCTACATTTTTAGAGAAGTGGGAAAACAATGCTCCATAAGACAGTTACTTTTATCAAAACATAAACACAAAAAAAGCATACAAACATATAAAAAAAACAATAGCGTTATTAAGCACCCTGAAACACTAATGCAAAGTTTTCCCCCTCTTCTTTGATTGCTTACTCATGAAGTTATACATTACCCCGTTTTGCCCAAAGACATTTGCAGAAGTGTGCAGTAAAGAATCTGAGAGGAATTGTGTTGATGGATGGGAGTAGCAGTCATACATCAGTCCTTCAGTACACCTGTCTGTCCTGCAAGTTCTTTCAGACAACAAGTTTGTTGTAAAAGTTGACTGTTTATTCCTCGTGTGTCTTTGGTCTGACTGTGAGGAGCAGGGAGGAGGAGGAGGTGGTGGTGGAGGAGGGGGTGCAAATATGGGTCCTGGGGCCAAGTCCTTCATAGAAAGGAGGCAGTGGGAATGAAATGAAGCCACAGGGGACAGACTTGGTGTCTCCTGTCCTCGCCGTCTCTCACTCCCCTCCTCGCTCCCTCCCAACCGGCCTGACTTCACAGCGCCGAGGCGGTGACCGGGTGGATGGCGTCACGATTGGCTGTCATGCTCTTGTAGGCCAGAGGGGTGGCAATGTCACAGTTGTGGGGAGATAGAGCACTGCCACTGGCCGGCTGCCATGTGGCTCCGGTCACATAGGCCGACGTGGTGGCGCTGTACCCCATGTAGGGTGACACTTGGGTGGTGGGAGGGTGGTAGGGAGGGATGCTGGGTGCTGTGACATAGCTGTTCACTGTGGGCAATCCATTCGGCGTCTGAGGACAAAAGAGACATAAAAATCTGTGTTAAACATCTGAGATGTCAATGAGAGCTTCTTTCTGGGGGCTCCCTGCTCAGTGTAGAAATCATGGTCAGTGATTTTCATTCTGTGGTTTTCCACAGAATTGAAAAAAGGAAATAATTTGCCTCTTCAGAGAGGATGGAGAAGTTTTTTTTTTCTTTGCTACATGATTTGGTGACCCCCAGCTCAGGTAGACGCACACAAGCAGCTGAGCTCTAATGGAAAAAAGCTGAGGCGAGCTGGAGAATAAAGTGAAAGGAGACGTGATTGAATTATAAACAGCAGAAACTTAAATTCTAACTTCACAGCCACCACATAAAAAACCCATTTTCCCAATTTTGATGAAAGTATGAATGATCAATTATGCGCTCTCATGCCCCTGGAACATATTAAACATGGATAAAAACCATACATGCATGATTGCCCGTCTGTCTACGGGACTTGTTTTCTACCCAGAGAGTGGACGTTTGCTCCGGCGGCGTTGATATACCACGTCAGACGATGGGAGACAGGGTGGTTGGGGGGCTCCACAAAACAGATGTCATAAGAGATTGAGAGTGAAAGGGCAGGAAGAAGGGAAATATGATAGAGAATGAGGCGAGGGTTTCGGAGCATGAATGGGCTTTGCCTTTCTGGCACAGTGACAGGACTTAACTTGAGGAATTCACCAAAGCATTTCAACAGGGAGGCCGAATTTCTGTTCCTGGGTGGTCTGCGACTACTGAGAATTATTTCTAAAATTGGGATCTTTTCTGTCTCTGCGACTTGTTTTCTCTGACTGGCAAGAGTCGCCGGCTATTCCTTA